TGCACCCCAAAATTTGGACAGAATTTACTCCTTATCAACACTAATTTATTAGTTCATTCCAAGCCAACTTTAAACATGTTTTAGTTCACTTAAATTTAGTCCAAGTCCAATCCAACCCATCACCACATACTTGGACATTTTTCAAAATATCATAACATCATAAATCATCACAAAAAGGCATCCATGCATAGATTTATCCCAAGCATCAAGCATATAACTATTGAAAATTATTACAACCCATGAAATAAACACTAACAAAATAACTTTAAAAAAATAATTTAAGACATTAATCAGCCAAAAAATGAAACCTACTTACCTCTTTTAGGTTTGATTAGAATTTCCTTAGCTCTTTTTCTTTCCTTTTTCCCTTTCTTTTTCTCTTTTCTTTCTTTCTCTCTTTTTGTTGTTTTTCTCTCTTCAATTTGGGTTCTCTTTTAATTCCGGATGGGCTACGGTTTTTGGCCTAAAAATGGCAGCCATTTAACCCTCTCTTTCCCTTATATACCCACCTTTTATCCTCTCATTTATTTATATCACAAGTGTTAAAATTTAACTAGGCCAAATGTAAAGTGGAGGAAACTTGGAAGGCAAAGTCGGCATGTTTTGGAAGTCAAAGGTGATGATTTGGCTTCCAAGCATTTAATTCAAGTGCTTAGGTGGCTAAAGAAAACCTAGGCTAAATAAACACATTAATAAGCTGGGTTCGTGTGATTAGACATAATTTCTTTCATAAAAAATTCTGAAATTTCTATTTTTAAAATTCAGAATTTCTTTTTTCCTAAAATTTCAGCGAGTGTTACCTCCTAACCCATCTATACTAAAATGTGCATAACTCTTTCTATATGTATCCAAAAATTATGAAATTTTATAGAGAGCTAGTAAACATATAGAAAAAAAAACTTTTATTCTTTAAGTTTTTCTCAAAAATCAATCTAACGAGCATCAAATAAATCTCACAAGATTCGGGCGATTCTTCTCCCAAAATTCCAGCAAAATGCATTTCGAAACAACCCTCACCATAAAGGATATAACTCTTAATGTATAGATCCAAACATTATACAATTTTATATAGGTATATGAAACACATGGATGAAAAACTTTCATTCTTTAAGGTTTACCCAAAAATCACCCTAAAGTGCTCAAATAATTCACACAAAACTCGGGCAGAATATAGTCCTTAAAACATTGATTTTGCATATTTGATTTCTTTAATAATTAAGCCATTAATCTTAAGCACAATAAATTTAATTTAACATAAACCACATATTTCAAGCATTAATTTTTCATGATGAAATGAGAATTATACTTACTCTTAATATACATATATATAGAATTATTCTAATACACGTCGCGTTACGGATAAAGATTTTTATGGGGGTTACATCATGGCCTACTTGTTGGGGTCATGATAAAATTGGTATTAGAGCATAGGTTTTAAAGTCTAGGGTAACTACGGATCATAGGTTCTATTCTAATCCATGTTTTTACCTTGAATTACATGGATCAATCAACTAGTGTATAACCTAGCTTCTATGTTTATAGTTTTAAATTACATAGGAAAAGTAAGGTTTTTTCATGCATAGTCATTTATATGGTCCGCTTGATTGGCACACACGATCGTGTCAATTTTTCTCTTTATTTCATATATTTGAGCTTCTACCCATGCAACTTTTCTTTCATATTTAAATGACTCTCTAGTGACACATGATAGTGTCACTTTTGCCCTTCATCCGGTGCCTCTCGGTTATTACTCGTGTGGCTTTTCTTTTTTCTTTAGATGACAACCTTATTGGTGAGACGAAGCATGTCAAAATTATTGTGCAAATCATGCTTATTCTTTATGCTCGTGCCTCTTTTTATGCCAAACACACACATGAACGTGGTAAATGTGTTGTGTAGCTCATGTTTATTCTTTACGCATGTATGCCTCTCTTTGTACTAAAAAATGCATGGACATGTCACTTTCTTGCACAAGTCATGCTTACCCCTACTGATCATGTGACTTCTCATGCTAAAAACATGCACGATGTGTCAAATTACTCTTCAAGCCATGTTTACCCCTTATGTCCATGTGTCTCCTTTCTTAACTCAATTTTTCCTGTTGTTTTCATTTGTTCTTTCATGTGTTTAGACTTATAGTGTCTTGGCTTGGGTTTGCTTATTTGATTTGCTATTTTCTTCTTATAAATTCAAAATTATTGCATTATTCATAAGTACACACAAGCCTAATAAAATAAGGAACAAAAAAATCATATAAGTTACGCATTGATCATTTTCCTTCTTGAAATTATTTCTTTTAAAATGTGTTAACCTTGGATTATGTTTCATATAAGTTGCTTATGGTGAGGACTAGGTAAGGTGATCATAGAGGAGGAGGTGCCGAGGCTAAGGTATCATCTAGACCTTCACGATCTCGCGATAGATCTAAAGTTAGGATAGAAGAAGATCCTGATATAAAGTCACCAACTAACTTCATGGTTGATTTTTACACTATGTAACATATAGTAGAGAAAATAATTGAGGGTATTCATTAAAATTTTTAGGCTATGGTAGTGCCAATCGGGAATTGAGTGAAGTAGATACTTCGCAATTGTACCCAATCGAGGTTAGTGGGGTTTGACCCCTATGTAGTGGAGTTTTTAAGATTAAAGCCATCAACCTATTCTAATGATAGAGATGATGAAGATCCAATGTATTTTATCAATGAGATAGAGAAGAAGTTAGTAATGCTTCAATGTTTTGAGGAGAGGAATGTTAAACTGTCGGTATTTATGCTTGAAGGGAGTGCTTAGTGGTGTTTAAATAGGACATGAGACTTGATTGTAAATACTTGAGAGTATCATGGAAGAAAGAGCCAAGTAATTTGAAAAACTAGTACAAACTTCGACATGATAGTGATGGAGTATGGGAGAAGGTTTACCAAGTTAAGTCGATATATCCTAGAAATAATATCGATTGAAGTTAAAATGGTGAAAAGATTTATGAATGGGCTAGTAGATTCACTCTTTACAATCTGTATTTCTCTAAAAGTTTTAGAGTTATTCTAAAACGAGTGGATTATGCTTATAAGCTTGAAATGAGGAGGATAGAGAGTAAGGAAATTAAAAAGCAAAAGGACAAGGCTAAGAGTGATACCTCGTCATCTAGTGGGTATAAAGGATGTAGTAGCAAATCTAGTTAAGATATGAGTATGCGGAATTATTCTAGCCCTCGGAGGAGGATTTTTTGGATAGAATAGTCATAATGGATCACGTAAGAGCATGATTTAGGATCATCTTATTCGATCCATCGGGATTTTGAAAGGAGGTACTCTGTTTGTCAAGTATGTGGCAAGACCCATCTAGGCATATGCTCTTGAAGGACGGAGTATGTTTCTTTTACCATCGACAAAGACATTTGATATGAGATTATCTTAGATATAAGATAACATAAGGTACTTGCTTCGGGGAGAGTACAAGCTCCTCCTATAGCCAATCCACCTTGAGTCAATATGATGGTAGATTAGATGGCTAAGTCGGCTAGGGGTTTGGCGATAAATTGTAGCAACGTTGAGGACAAGTTGGTAGGGGTCATGGAGGCTCGAAGTCGGGCGGATGAGTATTAGTGGTAGCCATGCTCAAAATTTTACCATCACCCAACAGGATGCTCAAGAATCTAAGACTATTATATTAGGTATCCTTCAAGTCTTTTCTTATGATGTACATATACTATTTGATTCGGAGGCAACCCACTCATTTGTGTTATCATATTTTGCTAAAATATTTGGTGTGAGTCCATGTATGTTAGAGCAATTTTTGATAGTGTCAACACCTATAAGAGAATGTATGATAACGGATTTGGTTTTTAAAAACTATGACGTATGAGTGATTGGTAGAAATTTATTTACAAATTTAGTACTCGTTGGATATGAATGATTTTGATGATCTTAATCTTTCCCCCTTGTAATCGATTTCTTATCCGGATATTTATGTATATCAATTTTTTTAGGGTTTTTTGGTTCCTTTGATTGCTAGGTGGTGACTCCTCCCATTCCTAGGCTTTCGGTCGATAAATGTGTATAAAAAAGCTTTTTCCTTTACTAGGATTTTTTTCTACTTGACTTTAAGATTTTAATGAGACATATTTTTTATACAATAGACATTCAATGAAAAGTTTTATGCAATAATGAATATTCATATGAATGTTTATATTCATTTCATATTCTTATTACTTATAATCTTTAATACGATTCAATTAACCATTTAATAGAAAAAATTAAAAGGATGATGCATTTGATTCAATAATTTATATATTTTTTTAATTATTCATAGTTCTTTGAATTCACTTTCTAATCTTGAAGTGTATAAAAAAATTGATTGTTTAGTAGTTGGTGGTGTAGAATTTTTATAAAAAATGAGAGGGTTGTTTTAAATTTGCTATCACTTTATATTCATTTTCTTTCATATTAGACTCATTTTTTCTATACTTTTTTCTTCAACTCTTTTGCTATTATTATATTTAGTAAAATTTACCCCTTTAAAATTTTAAACATGAAGATATATAAATACAAAGACAAGAAATTAACGTTTTTGTATTCTTTAATGTGTTCTTGTCTAGCATCGATCTAACATAACACGATAACGAGACCAACACTAATTTGTCTCCTTCCCTCTAAAATTATTCTGTCTCATTTATTTAAACTCATTCCTTAGGCTTGCAGATCCTTCATTAGCTAGAAGCACTTGGGCTTCGGATCGGATTTGAACCCGAGAACCCAATTAAGAAGAACAAATTTCACCAACGGTAAGTCCTCTCTTTGTACCATTACCATTTTCTTATATCCGTTTGTTTCTCGAGAAAATGCAAGAAAAGAAGAACAAACAAGCTGTTTTTATTTTAGGTTTTACGGGCAAATAAACAAAATGAGATCAAGATAATCTTTTCCAAAAAGACTTGATTTATGTTTTTCTATCCGTTAACAAACATCTCAACTCTTGGGCTTCTCATATAACAATTGAACTATGGGACATGGAGTGTGCAATGACGAAGGACGGAGTTCTTTAGGCCACCTTTTTCGGGGTGGAGGTGGAGAGGCTCCAACTCCTCTAAAACCCACAAATAGCAATAACAATGTTGAACCTCCGCGAGTAGGCCTCCTTGAACAGGTTACTCCTACAACTAGTGAGCCCGTAGAGGTTAGCACGCGAGTTCCAGCAAAACCCAACACCACTAACAATTATTTTCGTGTCGATGGCCGAATTGTGGCAACTTTCTTATGGTATGCTCTTATTAACTAGTGATTTTTTTCTTTTTTTTTTTTGCTACAAATGTACTTGTGTTATTGGAGAAACATCTCTTCATCCATATGTGGTTGGATACATTTTATCTTCCCAATTAATATTCAGAATATAAATGCTCTTTTAGACTGTAGACTATAATTGTATTTCTAGATACCCTCCATGTTTGTATCACCATCCACTTGAATTACAAGTTTAACTTTTTATCCGATAAACTATTCAAACTGGATCTTACCTTGAGTTGATAATTTGCAATATTTAGTAATAAATCTCAAACCCCAACATAACATTTTAGCTAGCATTTTGGATGAGAACGAGCACCTAAGGAATAGAAACCTTAGGTATTATCAAGAGATTTTTTAAAAAAACTTTACTCGGTTCTTCGGTTTATCCTACATGTGAAGGTTGAACTCTTAGATAGGTTACCACATTCATTGTGAAAAACTCTCATCCTCGTTATAAAGGATAACACTAGTGGTTTTCTTTAATGCGAGTAAAGCACATAACTTAATAGATATCCATTGCCCATCTATCATTATTAATTGTATGCTTATGGTCAGTGGATAAGCGGCATATAAGTTGATTAAATCGATGCTTATGTGGCACCTGGTAGTGCATGACAACATGAGTGCTAAATACCGAGATATATGGTCTTGGAATTGCCTACTTCGGTATCAAATTCGTTGCGGTTATTTGTCTCACATATCATATTACCATTCGAGCTTCACTATCTCTACTTGATGTCGATTCTTATAATGTATGTATAATTATTACTCTCATATGAAGGCATCATGGAATGATTGATGTGTTCTTGATGAATGGATCAATCGATAATTCAATAAACAATGTTTACTCCCAAAACATTGATGTTATCTAATGGAGAGGGCTCGAAACACACATGGAATGAATGGATTTATCTTTGTTAAGCTTTATAATTTTGCTACTTGGTTGGTAGTAGATGAATGCATTTGTCATGTTAAATTATTGCTCCTCCTTTTCAAAAACTCCATGGGATACGATATCATGGTTGATACTCTATAGAGATCTTAGTGCCTCATTTTCAAGCCTTTAATATTGCTTATTGATCCTACGCATCACATTCACCCTACATTTTATTCTTATGGAGTCTGTGTTATTAAGTGGCGAAATTAAGCTTAAATCATAAGACTTAAGAATAACCGTTATGTGCTTGGACCTTATTCTTACCATTATGCATGACATGGACATTATTATATTATCCGATGAATCAACGATGAGAGGTATTAGTAAACCGAAATAGGCTTGTAGCCGAGCCATAGGCGTAATAATGCCCCACCAATCTTGTCAAAAGACGCATGGATTGAAATTGGGAGGTAACATCTACTAGCCTTATGACGAGCATATAACATTGCCATCGATGCTTGTAAGCCGTCCGGCTTCATGTTCTATATGGCATTAGATAATATTAACCTAAATATCTTTCCATTTCCCTTAAGAAAAGGTATATTTTCAATCATGTTTCAAAATTTTGAACTTTTTCTTGAAGTTTCATCTTCTCATTGTAACATGTGAAAGCTTGTTGCTAATTTATAATTGATGTGGTTACACCGGTATATGGGTTTAGGCGAGTGATGTTTATTTTGTGATTCATATGACTTGGGCTTGCATGTGATTGAAAAGTAAAGTTTGTTGATATATTATCATTCCTAGTCTAGAATGTTTGGCATTTGTATATTATGTTTGGTGGTAAGTGTATATGTGTGTGTGCTAATATTCAAAGGTAATTAGTCATAAAAATAAAATTGTAAAAATTCATACAGCTACCTCTTTTTTGTGAATCATTGCAAAGATAATATTCTTTGTAATGTGTTTTTCCGGAAATTCTTTTCTCGGGACCACCCAATAACAAAGGTTCATATTGCTCCTAGTGGTGGATCTTCACTGGACTTCTCGTTTAGTGGGGGTGGTGGGAAATGAGGTATCATGATGTTGATGTTAAAACCATTAATCAAATATTATTCTAGAGCCTTTTGAATTTCGGGGAAAATGTTATATCTATGTGTTATGTGTGGAGTCAAAATTTTTACTAATTTCACATCACAATTCAATTTGTATGTATGGTGCTTTTCTAGGTAAACTTATGTGTTTGTTCAAAATTGAAGTTGATGAATTTGAATTTATAGCGAGTGATCCTCATAATTCAATGGCACCAAACAATCCCGTGTCTTTTCATGTCATGCGGGTTGTCTTACCATTTTCTAATGTTACCTATGCCTACTCTCCATGGTTCCATGTTAGGATGGAAACGCAGTTGCTAGTACCAAGTTACGACATGTGCAATGTCATTCTCGGTGTCTTTGCAAAGTCCTTCCCGGGGAAAAAGAAATATAATTTTGAAGCTCATTACTATTACTAAACAAAACTAGAAGAACAAGGATCGTGACTATTCAAGTACGACTAACTTAGACTCGGATGTACTATGCTTATGAATACCGTTTTTTTAACCTATGAATAGTGTTTTTTTTTTTTTGCGTCTTTCTTTCTTTGAATCTTTACTAAATTACCTGTATAAAATCAATTGTTTTGTACATTTTTTGTTTCAACCATCCGATCTAAATTAATTGCTCGTGATCGTCCGATCGAACATTGCTTTCTTTCAATCCCAACCATCCATCTAAAAAAACCTAACAATCTCAACTCGTTAAATCATATCTATATAAATTCATTTTTTCCCCATCTTTAAAAGCCTTCATCTTCTACCATTCTCTTTCCACCATGGACGAATTAGCCTTTCTCTCTCTTCCTATCCCTTGCTTTTTTTTTCCTTCCCTTTTTCTTTTTTTCCTCTTTGTCGAATGCTCTCTCTCTCTCTCTCTCTCTCTCTCTCTCTCTCTCTCTCTCTCTCTCTCTCTCTCTTCTTTCTTTGTCACTTCTCCCGAACCTACCATGTACGAACCGGATCCGGTTCGTCCATCCTCTCCCTCTTCTTTCCTTTTTTTCTCTTCCCTTCCTTCTTTTCCTTCTCCAATCGAAAACCCATTCTTGATAAAGGGAAGAGAAATTATCTGTAAAATCTACTTACGTTTATTAATACTATAGAGACAAACCTATTGAATTTAAGCAATGAGGTTTGCTTAAATTGAGAGTTTTGCTCGTCTCTTGCAATTTAAGCAATTTTAGGCTGAGATATTGAGAGTTTTGCTAGTTTTTTTAAATGGGGTTTTTGGATTTTGAAAGAGGAAGGTGGTTGTTAGGAGCTATACTTTGCAAAGCAACCACTTTTGGTACCGAGTTAAGGTTGGGAGGATTTGAGTTGAGTTGACCGAATTATCAACTAACATATGTTTAATTTTGCCTATGTCTCTTGCAAATTTGGCTACAAAAGTAGTGGATTATTTGTCTTGGTTTTTTTTTTTTCTTGTCTTATAATCATATATATCCGAACAACCATGTGATCTCTAGACGTGGAGAAGGAAGGAAGAGGAAGCGAGAAAAGAAATAAAAATGCAATTTTGAAGTGTGGTGAGAAAAAAGAGATAAAGATGTTTTTAGAATAAGATTGGGAAATAAATAAGGGTGAGGTCTTGGTCTTTTTATTTTATTTTATTATTTAAATAGCCTTTTAATTTTTTTTTGTTTTTACGCACATATTTATTGTGTCCTGTAATCCACAAACCAACATGTCAATCACTTATAAGTGAAAAACACCTGGTGGCAACAAAGGAATCAAATGAATTTAGATCAAAACCTATGCATAAAGGTCAAAATTCCAAGTGAAGAACGAACGTGATTATGCACAAAATTCAGGATTTAGAAAGAGACTTTCTTGTAACACTAAAAAATATGATAAAAGGAACAGGTGATTTACTTGTTCATTTGAATAGTAAATCACTCTTCCACTGCATGACTTATTTTTTTTAAAAAAAAAAAATTTAAGTTATTTCATTTTGATCCTTAAAAATTTTAAATAAAAATTTTAATCCCGATGCACTAGATATGTTTTTTTTTCTTTTGGTTTTTTTCTTTACTTTTTTTTCATTAATTTATGTTCTTTCTTTATTTGATTAGGTGTTAAAATTTTGAAAAATTAATTTTTTTTTTGTTTTTTTCATCAATTTATGTTCTTTTGTTTTTTTTTTCAATTGGGTGTTAAAATTTTGAAAATTCAATCATAAATTTTTTTCATACAAATTGATGATTATATAATATATATTTTTATATTTTAAAATTAACATATACTTCAGACTTATATTACTCTTATTATTTAAATTTTATTTTTTGAATTTATCTTTTTTTTATAAAAATTCTCATCCAATTAATATTTTTTTATAAGAAATTTTATTTATTAATATTATATAATTTATTTTTCTCTATATTTGAATTTTAGAATAAAATTTTAAAACATGATTTTAAAAAAAATTGATATAATATATATCATGAATTTTTAGAATTTTTATATAATAGTTGTATATATATATATATATTCTAAGAGGTTAAAAATGTATTTTAAATAATTTATCTCAATTTACTAGATATGGTCAAAACGTATAAAAAATTATTAAATCATTGATTTTATTAAAAATTAACTATACATCTTCCAATATAATACAAATTATTTACCATAAATATTTTTTTTAATATTATGGACCCAATTTATTTAGAATAAAATAATTTTTTAAAGGAACTAACTAATTATTCAAATATTGTTTTTATGCTAATTTTATTGATTATTAAATTTAAAAATTAACTCTACATCTTCCAACATAATATAAATTATTTACTATAAATATTTTTTTAACCTTATAGAACCAGTTTATTTAGAATAAAATAATTAAAATAATTTTTTAAAGGAACCAACCAATTATTCAAATACCGTTTTTTATGCTAATTTTATTGATTACTAAATATATATAGATCAATCCATAAAGAGAATAATTTATGTTTTTTTAAGCAAAGAATTTATAAAAACGTTACAAAAATTAATTAATTATTATATTATAATTAAAAAATTTTAAAATAATGTTGTTTTACCGGACCTAGGGCGTAACAAGGATAATTGGCTAGTTATTTACTAAAAAATAAAACAAATCTAAAGAAAAAAATTAGAAAATGACATTCAGTAGTTTTTTGTTTTTTTCTCGAACACTATCAACCATTAGTTTGCTTAATTTTGAAGCTCATTATTTACTAGAAAATTGATTAATTAGTTTGTTTCTATACTACAATCAACCACTCTATCAATTATTTTCGTTAAAATTGATAGTCATGTGCACAATACGAGACGAATTTCAATATGATTGAGAAATTGTGTTATAATATGTTTACCCAAATTACCCATCAAATTTAACCTGCTTACCCGAGTTTGAATTTCTATACCAAAGCATATTTGCTTTGTAAAACATTGACTTAAGAAAATATCGTCATCAATTCATATCAAAATTATTTATTTACGTGACACACACATGACCATCAATTTTAATGATATATATATTATATCAATTTATTTAAAAATAAAAAAAATAATATTTTAAAATTTAAATATAGAGAAAAATAAATTATATTTATCATTAAATAAAATTTATATAAAAAATATTAATTCGAAGAGAAATTTCATAAAAAATGATAAATTTAAAGAGTAAATTTAAATAATAAAAATAATATAATTTAATATATTTGTTAATTCTAAAATATAAAAGGATACTATATATATTTTATCCTCATTATAATACATAAAAAATATAAATAATAATATTCAATGTTTTGAAATTTTTACTTAATAAATTCTTAAATATATATATATATTTTTTTTAAAAAAAAAACAAGGACCAAGCCAACATTTCTTGGCTTCGGAGACCAAGCCCAATTGCACTAGGTCACGCTCTTCGGCCTGGGCAAGGAAAAAAAAAAAAAAAGAGAGAGACTATTTTGAATATTCTAGCAACCTCTACAATTTTATGAACTCAATTTCATCAAAAGTCGCCAAAAAGTTGGATTTCTCAATCTAAAACCAAATTCAACTTCATTTTTGCTTAAAAATAACGTAAACAGATTAATTTAACATCTCAAAACTCATAAACTCATTTTAATACATACAAAACACACAAAAATCAAATCAAAATAAAAAGCTCAAAACATATTTTTAGATCTCAATCTACAGCTTTGGACTATTTCAAGACGACTAAAGTGGTGGTAAGCTCAATCATTAGAATGGCCGAATAATCTTTGCTGACCTCCTCTCTCTCCTTCCTTCTCTCTCCCTTATTTTTCTCTCCTCTTCAACATGCAGGGATAAAAAAAAAAAAAAAAAAAAAGAACTTGCACATTGGAAAACTATGCTTATAAAAGGACCAACATGCACATTTTTGAGAAAATAGCGTCAATACACAATGAATAATAGTGATTTTAGTTACAATGCACAGTAAATTAATAATAAAATGAGTGCACGCAATGATTTCCCAACTCTTGTAGTATACCTAGTAATAATAATAATAACTAGTATGATTCCACTGTCTTCTTTTTTCATTATTATTTCTTTTTAAGATTTAATCTCTCAATTTACACCATCAGGAGGAAAATTCGCACAACCCCAAAAAATGAGGTGCCGCATTCTTCTTTCATTAGAAAGAATTCCATGAAACCAAACAAAACAAGATATGATGAAACCTTTCAGTGGCTGAAGATAACATTCTTTAAGCCTTCAAATAGCAGGCAGCATCTTCATACAAAAATCCAGGAGCAGAGTGCCATTGGGAACATGCATAATCAAAAGAAATGAAGAGGCATTAAACATCTCACAAAAGTGAAATAAGCTGAGATGCTATTTGCGAGTTCTGCCGCAAATAAGGAAAAGATGCACATTAGTCACCAACTTGATGACAAGCAACCTCTTTTCCAATCATTGTGAGAAAATGGATATGGAGTAACTTGTCAAGATATTACCGAAATTAAACAAACTACTGGTAACTAGAGTCGGTTAGGATAGATAATACTCCGTAAATGAAGGAAAAGGTAAAGAACTGGTAGGTGGTAGATTACACCAGTTAGAGAGCAGATTCTGTATATCACCAGTCAATTGCATCTATGAACACCTTCCGTCATAATGTACACAGGCAGGTGGTTTGTATCAAGTCATTCCAAAAGGTTAACCATCCATCAATCAAATTGATTTCCCTGGATCATTTATACTTCAGCAGTTGGTGTCCGGCCATCTGTCAACAGGAAATAGTTCACGTGAAAACCTTGGCAAAGCACATGACAAAAGAGCTCTACAAGGGAGATTCATTAAGTTATGAATAAATCTTATCCACATTTAGCCTAAAACTGAAGTTTTCCCCAAATTTGAGAAATGTGATCTATAGCATTTTCTTCAAACAAGAAAATTTTCAGAGATACACAAAATAATGCTTCATTGTATTTTCTTTTCGGAACCAATGATTGGATACAGAACAGATGGTATCCCTCTAAACTTTCATTCTGTATGACTATTGGATCCTGTCCTTGGTCATGATCCCAACAGATTTTTACAAGCTTGACTCACCATCCCATACAGCATTTAAAATATGAACCTGATTTGCTAGACAGGCAGGCAGCTTACGTATTAATTTGTAAGTCTTGAATAACGTAAATCTTAGAAAATAATGTAAGTCTTGAATAACATGAACTAATTATTCTATTAATTTGTTTCTTAAATAATGTAAGTCTTAAATTAATAAGGTTTACATAACTTGAAAATAGTCCTTCCTTGCACTGCATCATCACTACAAACACGATCAGGCAGCTTACGTATATGAGGTATTGATCATATCAGAATCATACAAAGATTGAATTTGGAAGCAACTGTCAAATAATATAGCACAGGCATTTCATCAAGTGGGTGATTTGAAATGCAATTCACCAAAAAATAAAGAATAAAAAATTTATTCATGTGTGCAGACATAAAGTAGCAATACTGGGATGAGGATAGAGGTAGTGATTTTTCAACAAGGTCTGAATCAACTATCTCATTTATCTTGATGGTCCACAAATAGAAACCCTTACCCAACACTGAAACCAATATGGTTTGCAACACAATATTTTTGTAGACTCCTAATGCAACAACAGACAAGCTGAAAATAGCTGAATTGCAAGAGATTGCAAGTTCTTTCTCTCCCCCCCCCCCTTTCCTCATAAAAGAAAATTGTAACAGTCTAAGTAAATCAGAACTCATATTTACACAAACCATAGCTTGCCATTTTATATCAAATTTTTTTATAATGGTTCAAAAAGCACTAGTAATGGCTTATATTAAGTGAGATTCTAAACCCACTCCATCTTCTCTCTATCAGATTTGAGTACCAGATAAGAAATTCATTTTGGTTTCTTTTGTAGCATAAGTTGTCACACATGATAAAATATTTCAAACATTGAATGAGGTTTCATCTTTATCAAATATATGCATGCACAGTCCAAGTGAGAAAAAATGATAACCTGATGGTTCCAACCGTAAAAGCCAAATCACTGACAAATGGTTTCCAATTTTCTAATTGTAACCCAACCTAAAAATCTTAAGTGATAAACTAGGTATGGGTTCAGCTTTGCCAATGGCTATAAAAATAAATGCTTCCTAGATTCATACCTTGGTTTGGCAACCAAGTGGTAGAGTCTTCTGCTGTGGTAGACTTCTCTTTTGAAAAATCTGTATCAGTGTTTGGTGCATCAGAGGTCATATCATCATTTAAATTCAGAGTATGAGCCACTGGTGGTTCTGCATTTGGAGGAACCTGCAGAAAATCCAGAGAAAAAAAAATGACGGTCAATTCACATTAGACAAATGAACATGAAGAATTTGGTTATGCATTAAACATTTGAATGCATGACATGATAATGTATGTCTTGACAATCTCATGACAAAAATTGGTATATGAGCCAAAGCTCTCAGAAGCCCCAAGAGCACAAGGAGATTCCTGATTAAACCAGACATCCCATGATGTTTAGTAAAAAGAGCTGGCAATTCCAATGTATATGTAAAGGCCGTTATTTAATGGAATCGGAGGACCTGGTTACCATTATTCAGAATTGCGGTGCCGTTAACAGCATTCACAACACTGATGGCTATAATGCCGTTATATAGTATTATTGGCTGTTATTGAGAAAATAACAGGTCTATATGGCCTACTTATTAATATCATTGTGTAATAGTTTTTGTATTCCAAGTTCACGTTTTCGCACTTGACTCTTTTGATAGTCATAGTGAAAAATAGCCACGTCATTTTCTAACACCCATGAGTTTGTGGTCTGCCACCACGATTTATAAGTATGCATATGAGAGAGATAGAAAGGCTTGAGGATGTCTCATTTTCTGCCATCACCTTTCTTCCTACACACACACACAGTTGCATGCCTTTGTTTGCCTTACTAATTTCCAATTCTAGTATCCATGCCAAATTAAACATTTTAAAGCATGCATAGGACATCTTTTGTATGAGCGACATCTCAAGTTCCCCAAAAAAGATGGTGTATATAGATGCGTGTGTGTGTGTGTATTTCCATTAAGCAAATAATCAAGAAAAAACTTCATTAATGTAAGTAGTCCAACTTGGTTAACAAGTCAAATTTAGTTAGAAAAATAAACTACGAATATGATTCCTTATTTCATTCACAATTGCTCCAACAATCTTGTGCAGGTTTTATCACAGATAAGGAAAAATAAATAAATAAATAAAATAAATAACTCTCTCAGTGTATTCAATACAGTGCACCATTTTTGAACCTATGCTATTCTGAGCATAGCATTTGAAGCAGGCATCTAGCCTAAAAAGAAAAAAATTCAGAGCGCTCAATAAAGCATGCAGGAGATACTGAACGAAGAAAAAAGGCAAATAGGTCTCAACCTCATGGGAAAGATGGACATTAGAAGAAGCCAGAGTTTTCAAATCAGAGACAGCAGCAGCTTCCGTCTTGGGTTCCTGTGCTGCGAACTCCTTCCCATGAGCATTGTCTGGCTGCATGTTTTCTACTGCATTATCCTTGAGGATTTTAGAAGTTTTTGGCTTGCTGTTGTAGTCACCATTCAATACAACACCAATTTCTGGACTTGCCCTTTTCCTGATATGGGCATGCAGCGAAAATAAGCAGAAGTTTCGCAAGAAATGCAGTAATAGCAATAGCTGCCAATTAGCCAAATACGAAAAACCATACTCTCACCTGCTGTTATTGTGGTTAGTTATCTCGGGAGAAATTGGCTTGTTGGAAAATAATATTCCACGTAGAGGCTTTCCATCTACAATGGTCTCGATGGTATATCCATGTGGAAGGCTTTCAGTAACTTTTGCTTGAAATGTCTTCTTCCCTTGATGAAGCTGGGTTTGATTCAATGGGAAATTTTCTCTGCCTGCAAATAAAAGCACAAATTTTGTTAAGTATTCTACTTGCATGCCCATTTAAAGTACAGTTCATACCACTACCATCGACATCATCATGACACCTTGACCAGACTACCCCAAGTACTAGTATTACCAGGTTACCGTCAAGGTAAGACATAACTGGCTTCTCTTAGTTTTCAGCTGATAAAACATCATTATTAAACAACATAAAGTCACACTAATATAAACGAATTCGTAACCAGGAATAGGTCCATGACTAATTGACTTGCATGCTTAAAGATGTTAAATCACAAACAGTATGCCTCAAAAGGCAATGGAAAGGGGGTAAAAAAGAAATATTGCGAATTTTTCCATCATTGACCATCAGAAAAGTAAATAGCAAAAAGCAATAAAGGGAAACATGCAGAAATAGAAAGGTTGGAACATGGAAGCATTTCTAAATTTCAGTGCACAAATTCTTTTTTGCCACTGTTGGAATATTAAGGTGGTCAAGCCGGAAACCACTATCTAGAACTTTTCGAAATCCAGGAAAGATGCCCATGCTTTTGCCATAATTTAATCATCCAGTAATGAACAGATTATTCTTGAAAGTTTGGTAACTCTGGCAAATTACTGAACATAAATTTCTTACCTTTACCCTAACCTTTAATGCAAATTAAAATTCATCTGAGTTCAACATCTCGTTTGTAAAAGCTCCCTTATTCTTAAGAAGCATTTAGGTGTACAAATCCCAAACAAATTTCAACTGAGAATTTAAATTTCCTGTCACTTTAGTCTGAACAATTTTGTTGATACCAAAAGACTGCAATCTCAGAAAGGAGCTTTCAACTCAAGTCATGTAAGCTTGATGGTTTTGTTGATGCCAAAAGACTATTTGATCCCAGAAAAAATGATGGCATTTCGAACTCAGGGACCGAATATGCCTGTGGCCATCCAAAAATTCCACTAATTTATTCTGAATAATCCCTGCCATCAAATGCCTTTGACTTGTAGCACAGTTAGACCGCAATATATTACATGCCCTAAACCTTTATTTACTGTACAAAGACAAAGTCACCAGAATTCCTGGATTAACCAGCCAACCAACAGTAGACATTCCGTATCTGCACAATGCCAAACCTTCAAACAAGAGGTGGATGTCGAATATATCTCAACTACCTTCCAAATCAAGACAAAACTCTCATTTTGACCACAAGAGGTGAGTGCTGTCAGTTAGAAATTGTCCGAGTCTCCTAGGGCAATGGAATTAAAACTGATTTTACTATCATCAAACTCTTCCCTGCCATTACGTGACTCTTGAAGCATTATAGGCCCCTATGAAGTGCTTAAACTTTAGCCAACCATATATATACTACTTATAAAGTCAACATAGTCCAATACATAATGATAAGGAAAAAGGTCTCATGACTTCTTACAGAACAGCAGTCTCTGGGTAGCTGGACATGCTTAAATATTGGCTACAGATACAAATAGTTATGATGAATGGAAGAGAAAGACAAAAGGATGTAAACCAAAAAATTACTTAAATCCCATTGTGTGCATCTTAATCACACAAGGCAGCCAGGAGGGGCAAAAAACTAAAAAAAGTTCGACCATGTTCTTTCCCACTGTTTAAGAATTATAAAAGTTGCATTTTACATTGGAACTAAAAAATCATTAGGAAACCTTCCTCCTGCTGCATCCCCAAATTGATAAGAGCATATTTCATAACTCACATTTCATTCAGGAAGACAATTTTCAACTTATCCCTGCTCACTTTCACATAAAAAGAAACAGAATCTTGTCATCCCCACTCCGTTTCACAAGAAAAGAAAAGCAATCATATCATCCATTTGCATGGTGAATAAATCCTCAATTGTGCTTTTGGACATTATGCAAGTAAATACAGGAGAAAAAAAAATTGCACACTCTGTCCCAATAAAGAACAGCCACTGAACTAACAGGGCATTAAGACATAGGATTGCAAGGTGTTACGCAGAAGATTTTTCAAGTACACAGACAGATGCCTTGATGCAGACAATAAAGGAAGCAAAATTTGTGTCTTTTTGAGGACAAGGGTATTTCCATAATTTATGAAAAATCTTGAAATTTGTCGAAGTCTAGGTTTTATTTTCTATTTAGTATTCTATTAGTCCTAAGGAGTAATTAGCTTTATTAGGTTTTTCCTATTCTACAGAACTATATAAATAAGTATGTAGCCTCTGGAGAAGAAAAGTTTATGAATAAAATTCCTGCAATTTACCTTTGATTATGTGACTCAATCTCCCTTAGGTGTGACCCCCAGAATTCTACCCGCATATTTCCTCATATTGCAGCAGAAACCTGCTTCAATACAACCCTAAACACCATCCAAAAAACAGATCCGGAACAGCCCCTAAGCTGTCCAGCATCAGTTCATATCAAAGCTTCAAGATCCTAAAAGCTTTTTGTTGCATTCTACTTCAACCATGATTACCGTCACTGAATTGAATTCAAAATTTGAAACCTTCAAGCAAGATTTAGAAACAAGACTGCATTCTATGGAAGTTAGGTTGAATTCAATGGAAACATCTATTACTGCCACGTTCGATAAGGTGCAAGCAGCATTAGATAGGCTGACAAAGGCTATACTGAGCAAGTATCCTGTTGAAACAGCCATTAAACCTCTCATAGCACAACATATTTTTGTTGATTAGAAAAATATGGAATTGCTTCCCAAAAGGACATTGAACAAGAAACAAAGGAATTTCAGATTGACAATAATGTGGAGACTGAAAGAGAAGAAAAGGAATTTTTTAATCAGGTTATTACAAAGCCTAAATAGCTTATGGGTTGCAGCTGAGCCAAAGAAGAAACATGTCGAGCACAAAGTTAATGGAAGTAAGGACTGCAAGGAGAAAGTGGTATTGACAACACAAGTGGACTTCATTATTCCTGATTTCGATGGTGACATTGGTAATGAAAATCTCACATCATCATTACTGTCACCAACAAAGAAGAATTTTTGGTTCCTATTTCAAAGGTGTCGCATCGAGGCAAGGATGTCATCGCAACTTCTGTGGTTTTCGTTACTTCGCCACTACAAAACTCGAGGTCAAGTTTTCTCCAAGCAAAGGAGAATGATGCGGACAACAAAAGAAGAAAAATTTGTGTCTTTTTGTAGACAAGCGTATTTCCGTAATTACTGGAAAATCTGGAAATTTGTTAAAGTATAGATTGTATTTTCTATTTAGTATTCTATTAGTCCTAAGGAGTAATTAGCTTTATTAGGTTTTTCCTATTCTAGGTAAACTTAGCTTTATTGGGTTTTTCCTATTCTACAGAACTATATAAATATGTAGCCTTTCAATACTATGGAGAAGAAAAGTTTATGAATAGAATTCCAGCAATTTGCTCTTGATTGTGTGACTCAATCTCCCTTAGGTGTGACTCCTAAGAACCCTAGGTGTGAAGCTTAGGTTTGTCTATCCTCTAGGTGTGACTCCTAGAATTCTACCTGCATATTTCCTCATATTGCAGCAGAAACCTACTTCAATACAACCCTAAACACCCTCCAAAAATCAGATCCAGAACAGCCCTAAGCTGTCCTGCATCATGCCTACAGTACCACCAATTCAAGATAGAGAATTTACCATTTTCCCGAAGAAAGAAATGCTACTGAAAGATGTGTTGGATGAGAATCCAAACCAAAAGCTAGATGCATCAAGCCACATTAAGCTCGATATTTTGGACAACATAAATAACTCATACAAAAACTCATTGTAGACTGATAAAAACAAATCCATGAGTAATGATACATAATTATTGAATGAGCAACACTACCAAGGCACTCTTGAGTCAACATTTAGTGATATTGCATGAGTCAACCTCAGATTCTCCCCAGTTCAGATATGAAAAAATACCGGATTTTCATGGAAGGAAACCGTGATGAATAATACAAAAGAGTAAAGAATCAACTTCTTACCTGGTTGGGCATAACTTGGTAAGGTGTGGTGAAAGTCAGCATTTGTGTCAATTCGGACTAAAACTTTATCACGCACAGAAGAATTAAGATTTTGTTCTTGGCACTTTAGCTTCAATTGCTTCTTCAGAGATAACTTTTCTAGACGCTGTTCATCTCGCACTCTTGTAAGTCCTACAATGGAAAAAATGGACGAGATTTACCAAAATAAACAGTGATCTAGACTAATATAAGGGTTTACAGAATAACAAAATAGCATCTCAAAAGCATGCAAGAAACTTTAGTTCACGAAAAACTTAAGAGACTTTACCAAACCTGTGTATAAGTAATACATATCTTCCAGTGCCTCAAGACTCTTATTGCAGCCACCAATGAACACAAGCACACCACCCTTCAGTGGATCCAAGCAGTCCCCAGCCACAGAAAATCTCGCAGACGGTCCATCTCCAGTTGTCATCACCTTGGTCCAAACGCCAGTTTCTGCCCCAATAACAAATGTGGATGTTCAGAACTACAAATAATGATAACTATAACAAGTTGATGGATAGGACACTGGTATTTTCAAAGCCACAGGACAGGCAAGTAAATTATTGAAAATTTGTTGGACTTGCAGGGAAAGGGGAGTGCCTTTTTCAATGCCACTAAAATTTTATCAACAATAGCATGATACATACCAACATCAAGCATATATAAGTCATCGTATAGATTTTGGGCATCTGTAAATCCACCAAAAACAAATAAATTCTTGCCAAAAGCAACAGTAGAATGACCAGCTCGAGGTGGCAACTTCTGACCCAACGTGTTCAGCTCCTTCCAAACAAGAGTTTCTAACAACATACAAGAAAGCTAAAGATTAGGTAATACATTCTCGAATGAATTTAAGATTCAAACTATTATTTAAATTAATTGTGTGCACATGTTTGAGAGCAAATACATAACATATATGTTAGCACGCAAACACAAAGGCACATGTTGCGCGAGTGCATGCGAATGTATATTTATATGCATCATAAGTGCAAAACCTGTATCTAGGATGTGGACATCTGACAAATAGTAATCATGCCCATCTTCACCACCGATCACAATAATTTTGTCCCTCCAAGATGAGCAAGTATGGCTATCACGGGCAGAAGGTCGAGTGCCTGTTGTTGTTGCTTGTTTCCATACAAAGGTCTCTACAAAAGTAGAAGGAACATGAATGACATAATGTCTTTAACCTACTAAAATGAACAACAAATTGCAAGAAAACAATAACTGACAGAAATAATGGAAATATTGTCCACTTTCAAAGGCCATCAAAAAGAGTCCATGAAAAGTTAATAAATTTTGGTTCAATTCAGACCCCACATTCCCCGGCCCCACCCACCAAACAAATCCCCAAAACCCCACCACGCACACACAAAAGAAATCCTTTAGCCCGGTAGTCCTGTATGGCATAGGAACTTGATGTATGCATAAATTGTAAACTAAACTAGAGTATGAGAAAAACCAACCCTTGCTGAATAATCACGTATGGAGAAAGTTACCTGTATTCAAGATGTAAAGATCATTGTAATAGACTTCATGATTATTATCTGAAGATTTTCCACAGCCACCAAATATGAAAAGTCGTTTGCCAACAAGCGCAGCACTGTGACCCTCCCGTGCCTCTGGTCCATCACCTCTCACATTTGGAGTTATCCAAGTATGAGATGCTACAATATGATAACCAATGAAGGTAGTGTAAGCCATATGATTCAATACAAATCCTCATAAGAGTTGCCAGGACCATAAGTATGACAAACAATTATGTTAAATATCATTTCTTAGATAATCTTTCATGACAAGTCTATTTTAGCATTAAAAAAGTATTGCTTTATGACACTTAAGATATGTAAATCGATGGCAACGCAAAAGACAAGGGAATGACATACAGGGAAAATGAAATGGAAAAGAGATTAAGGACAGGATCACTCACAAGTATCTAAGATATGCAGATCTTTGAGAGGGTTCATCCCATCAGTACCCCCGAACACATACAGATTGTCACCAACAGTTGTACAAGTGTGGCTATCTCTCGGAACTGGCAGTGTGCCATTTAACACTGGTTGGCTCCAAGTCTGGTTAACTGCAATTCAGCAACCCAATATAAGAGCATAAAAAAAAAACAATTAGGCGAAAAGAAACTACAGACGAATTCAATAACTCAAAAGGCGAATCTCAAGTGAAGAAAACATGGAAAAATTTATCCTAAAAGAAACCACTAACACCCCAGCAAGAGAAGATAAAACCTCACAAGTAGCAAAAGCGACAAGCAGTATAGATTACCGATATGATCAATCCTATTAGGTGGGATAGAAACTTTCATAGCCTCGTATAGTACATTGACTCCAGAATAGGAAATTTATCACACAGCCATATCACTTTGCAAGCAGAGTAAAAAAGAAAGAAGGAAAAGTACTAGTCCCCGAAAACCACAGACAGGACAACCTACACTTGAAACACAATTTCAACAATAAACCATAAATGCCACAAAAATTAATGCTCACAACAAACCCCATGCAATTTCCAATATCAAACAAGTCTGACGACACTCCAATAAACGCAAATTACAAAGGAAAAAAAATGCAAAATAACTCCAATAATCACACTTCTTCTGAGCACCAAACATAATATACATAAAATTAGAGGCAAGAAACTCAAAATCCCCAAGAAACAATTTTAATGACTTCCCATCATATAAGCACCAAATAAAACCAGTCATGCAAACCCCCAAAATTGAAAAAGACTAAAAAAGAAAGAGAACCCAACAATTAAAGTGAAAAAAAAAAAAAAAAAAAGAAAGTGAAGACCCACCAGTGTCAAAGACATGAACTTGGTTGGTCTGGCAGTTATCTTTGCCATAGCCACCAAAAACATAAAGAAATCTTCCTCCTTTAATTGAATTACAAGTGTGTCCCCACCTCTTCCCTGGCCCATTTAACTCTTCTATCTGAACTCCTTGTTGTAGCGAATGCTGCACCCTTTCCCATCTCATTTTTATCTTTATTTTTTTCTCGGAAAATTTTTTCTTCTTGAGAAAGTGTCGGAAAATTAAAATTTGAAGGTGCGGTTTTTATGTCTCACAAGAGACTACAGAGAACGATAATCAAAATCAATATATCTATTTTTTTAAAAAAAAAAAAAAAGAGGTGGGATTAGTATTACTGTCGATTAGATTAGACTAGAATAGAGTGTGGATTTTCTTAATTTTGAGTTTGTTTGTCGTTGTTTAGATTTCATGCAGAAACAGAACCGAAGAAAAGGGCTTAAGCAAGTGTGTTAAATAATCAGAGAGATAGAGAGAGAGAGAAGGAAGAGATTCCGGTAAACTTTACTTTTACCCCTATAGTTGTATCGATGTTCCACTTTATTCCTATATATCAAGATCACTATTCTTTATTAAATTTCTTTGAACGTAGCAGATTGACGTAGAAAGTGCATCTTTGTAATCATTTCGAAAAGGATAAGTCTTGATTAATGTATAAATTAGTTTGAAAATAGCTTTAAGATTCGAAAATAATAATTTTTTAAAAAAAATTAGTTCTTGAAGGTCTTTTAGGTTTATAAATATTTTCCTAAGATGGTAATCTATGAGGATTTGAGAGGAACAATAAAATAGAAATTCTTCTTTTTTTAAAAAAAAAAAAAAAAAAGAGTGAAATTGAAACTATGAAAAAACTATAGGGTTAGCATTATAAATTTTAAAACTATATGGCTAGAAATGGTGGAAGCTGAATCTTTGAGGGTAAAAAAGAAGTATAAGCCAAGGGATTCCTAACAGGGAGAGTTTTGTATGTATTCTGGTAGCCGTATGTAGCGGGTTGGATGCACACGTGGCATATAGGGACGTCGTTCTGCCATTAGATCCCTGAGAGATGAGGGTGATGTGATGTGACGTGAGGATTAGCGACCATAACGGGATTGATGACTTGGCTTTCTACTGTATCTGTACCTTGAATTAAAATCAACAATCTATATCTTATTTATTTTCCAAAAAAATGATTTATATGTTTATATAAATCATCAATCCGTTCCATTTAGTATTATCTTTTCTTTTTTTAACTCAATTAATAAAATTATTTTTTTCATTCATTCATTTTAAAACAGTTTGGATTAAACTATATGGGAGGACTCTGATTTTTTCATTCGTTCATTCATTCATTCTTGGCATGGCCCATCCCAATCCGAGGCCTATCCATCCTAAGTTGGTACTTTTTTTGTTCATTTTAAAACAGTGAATTATAAATTAGTCCTTTTAGTTTTGAAATATGAATTAATTAGTATACTTTGTTTCAAAACTAGCTATTTAATTCCTATATTTTTAGATTTTCTTGAACTTAATCATTTTCATCTTTTTTTCAATTTATTTTGATGTTTTGTCTCAAGAAATTAAAAAAAAAAAAAAAGAAGCAAAAATATGGAAGGATTAAAAAAAAAAATTTGAAATAAATTAATATTAAATTAAATATGATTGATTGAGAAACTAAATAATTAATTTTTAAAATAAAAAATTAATTCATTCGTTTTTCAAAAACCAATGTCACTAATTTATAATTTACTCGAATGCATCAAGTGGGCCCCTGTTACTGTACTCTCAGCTTCGGGTCCCAGGGTTGATTTTGGCGTTGAGCACAAAAAATGAAAAATAAAAAAGAGGAAAGTGATATTGATTTATTTATTTATTTATTTATCTTGGGCAGAGAAGTATGTCCGAAGCAGAATAAATGCGATGTTGGGCAGAGAAGTATGTCCGAAGCAGAGTAAAAATGTAAATGTGATTCAGAGATGACAATCAAGAAGACAGCTCCTTCCAAAAGATACATGTCGTACTGCTACCAATAAAGCCACTTTTCTTTAGACCCTATAGATTGGAAAAAAGTTGAACAGTGGATGAGACAAGGCGAAAAAATAAAAAAGGATCATGCTTTTAGCTGACTCCATCAGTTCACTTTCCTGTGCATTTGCTGACAAAATTTAAAGGAACGGGAGGTTTCTTTTCATTACGTTCCAGTCCAGTCACATCTCTGGCGAGGTTTCACAAGTATTTTGGGATTCGCTCTTTAGATTGTATCGATCCAAGCTAAATTTAAAGGATCATTACTATGTACTACTACAGCTTCGGAAACACATCAGCGACCAAATGCTGTTTGTGTTGTCCAATTTTATCTCTTTTGGCTTTTATCCATATCATCCCCACTTATCATATTCAAATAAATCTTCGCCTGATGTCCTCCTACCTGTGTATGCTCTGGCAACTTCTACCAAGATGATGAGTTGTAGATAAAAAAGAGGGACTTCAAACTCTTAACCAATATTAAAAAGCATTCACAGTTCCAGAAAATGAGGTACATTTATGGCAACTAACAATCAATCTGAAGTGCAACCTAAGACACAAGGAATTGGGGAGAACTTTTGCCGACATCTATGATGATGGCTAATTCAACCCAAGAAGAAAGATTTGTCCACTGAATGGAATGCCTGTTGGTTGAAAATTAAATCAGAAATTAGTAAATTTATCCAGAATTCAGAAGTGCCCACGCTTAATTCTAGCCCAAACCAAAGCTGCAACTGCAGCACCCCCAAGTGAGCCGATCCTGAGATGTTACTGTTTCCCTGCAAAAACAAATGCACATCTAACAGTTTAGATTGCTTCAGGTTGAAATCTTCCAAAAAAAAAAAAAATTGTAAACGGAAGGGAAAAAAATTATAGGAGTAATATCAATGTACCTCTAGTATCCTCAACATATCTTTTCCAATTAAAAAGATACCCTAGAATGACAGTCAACAAAAATAATATGGTAAGCATCTGAAATTGGACTAGAATAGACTTATTTCTTGGTTCAAAAAAAAAAAAAAAACCACTAACTTTAATGAAAGGAGCTTACCAATAAGATTGCTGGAACTGGTATGATAAAATTGAAGTATAGAGTAGCTCTTGGATTCAAGAATATATCGAGCAACATGATAGCATTGACAGCCCCACTAGCCCCCTAAATGACAAAACCATACTCATTAGTCAACCTTTATTAATGAAAAACTGGTCTAAGTTTTGTTGCTCTTCTTCTCTCTCAAGGGCAAACAAAGAAATCTGGCCGGACTGTCATCCTTGCCAATGAACCAAGTAAATAGATGTGTCTGTTATAAAGATAAATGAGGGAGGTGCATAGAAACAAAGGGGAAAGCTGTTTATTATATTCTGAGTCAAGAAACTAATTTCAGAAATTCTGCAATATATAACAGAAACTGTAAATAAAATGTTGCCACTTGCCACCAAAAAAATTTCACATCGATTTATTCTTGGCATTAGTCAAATTTCATGACAAATTTCCCTTGATTTCAATAAGTAAGCTGTCAGTTCACAGGTTCAAGGTATCAAGGGAACATTTCTAACAAACAGCATTGTCATACTAATGATGACAGTTAAGGACAAGGATTCAAGCATCATTTGACTTGAATAACTGAAGAAAATGTAAATAGAAAGAATAAGAAATCTGAAACAAATAGAGCTGCAAAAGCATACCAATCCTGGAGTCCTTGAAGGATCCCTCACCCACATTCCCTGTCCCTGCAGATAGCAAAATATGGGGAACAGAGTCAAGGATTTCTGGTTAGCCATAAGGTCAACGAATCATTTCATCCATATAACAGAATTCCAACAAGATCATTCAAATAGTGCACAAATTACATGTACTTTATTTAACACATGGAATTGAATTTTTATGTCGTCATCAGTACAACCATATATTATTCTGTTAATTAAATTCATAAAAAAAAAAAAAGGTCAAACGTTAACCTGCAGTTGGGAAATCATGTCAAACTTTGCGTTTCTGTGAAATACATCATCATAAAACGTAACCACCAATTCTATATGCAAAGTAATCATTCCCCACAATTTGCTTCCATAACAAAGCATAATGGAAATGTTGCATCGGATTATTGTACCTTCAATGATAAAGCCATGAAGCCATGGTGCAGCAAGTAGAACACTGAGCCACCAATTGCCCCAGCAAGGTACAACTTCAATAAGAATTCAGGTCCAAAAATCCTTGCAATCTAGGCAAATAAAAAATAAGGAGAATAATTCATCAAACAGAAAAGGGGCAGAAACACAACATTGGCTGCACAAAATATATTGGACATACTGTTGTTGGATGTCATATGAAAATGCTACCATGATTACTGGAGAAGAATGTAAAATCCAAATAATTTGCTAGAATATTTTCAAATATCCCATCTTAAATTGGTTTTGGGTTGATACAGTCTCAATATAAACAAAATATTGCCTCTCTTTTTGAAATTTTTACCTGCTCAATCTCAATTATGGAGTTCCAGAAATATATTTGAACAATTAGCATGAACAAAAAGGGTTTATCATATGCAAAAAGCATTGAATTTCATAAGTCAGTACAAAGTTTATAATAAATAAAGGTAATAATTTATACAACGTATCTCCTATAATGAGCCATCAACTACATAATTGGTGAAAAATTAAACTATAAGAAGGCAAAAAAAATCTACGGGACAATGATAAAACACAAGAATGTGGAAATCTAGACATTTAACTGTTTGCTTTTGAGTTATCATTCTATATTACATATACAAAGTGAAATTTTAAATGAAAGCCATAACAAATTCTTTCTCATACAAAGTATCAGTGTCTGGTTTGCAATCTCCAAAGTGTATCAGCTTTCAAATCATAAAAAGGAACCAAGTCAACGGGAAGTGGTGAAAGGAACAAAAGATTGTAACTAAGGAAAAATTCCAAGGAATGTGAACATACATTAGTGCCGAAGAAGTAAAGTCCGATCATGTTAGATACGATGTGCTCAATATCTATATGACTGAATGCAGAAGTAATAATTGTGTGAACGCGTCCACTTCTGAAATTATCCAATGAAATCTGCTCAGGGAACATCAAATGTGTCAGTAGGCGATGGAGATTGAATCAGATCACTGTGAGTTTAAAACACTTACTCATTTTTGAACTTTCATTCTTCAAAGTATACCTCTTGGATTCTCTATTCTACAGTCAGAGGGCAATTTACAGCTAGAAAAAAATTAGGTAGCATACTCTGTGTGAAAATAAACATTCTCCACCGAAGTATTCGTTTGTCAATAATGCAAAAATCTATGCTTAATAGTGTAGCTAAATGTCACGCTTCTATTAAGAATTATCAAAGGTTAGCCCGTGCACCCACCACTTTAACAAGAGTTCAGCACATAATAAGTTTAGCAAACAAAACCTGTGTGGTATCAGTTACTCCTAGTACTTAGTACCATCTAATCAAGAAACTAAGGACCCACCATAAAATTTTTCATCATAAACTTTTGATCTGCAATCTGCCATAACATAAAAACGGCAACATTGGCTATGATCAAACCCATTACCACGTTATCAGCTGGTAGCTGATTGAACCATGAACTCCTGCAAACAGCAGACAATAAATTATTCACATACATAAAATTCTAGCTTGTCCAAGAACAAGATATGCCTTCCAGTAAGGGAATACCCTAATTAAACTCACATGTTCCTTGAACATTAATTATGAAATGGAAAACCAAAAATCAGAAGTTCTTAAAATAGACCAAACCAAATACTATTCCACCTAGTCCAACCACAATTTATAGCAGAAAGTAAGAGGCAATTTTTTCTACCTGCAATTATGGAGATTCTTATCCTTGAGTTGAAGGACTACGAAGGCACAGAATCTGTCAATACATGACATGTTTTTCTCTCTTGCAAGGTTTAAATTCATCATTAAATAAAAGTACTTTCCCCTTTCATTAAGGAAATTCCTAGCAAAGGGGTTTGCTTAAAGTGACAAGCTTAATACAAAATTACACCTAGTATCACTATCATTAAAAATTATATTCTAAAAGTTCAGCGAAAAAAAAAAAGTTAAATTCAGAAGGCCAGGTGGAGAGAGAGAGAGAGGAAATTTTAGTGAGCAGTAAAAACAGCTATGGCCTATAGAAGCAACTATTGTACTGTTGTCTAATCAATAGTTGACACGCATTCTACTTCAGAGCCAGAGTTATTGCTACTGCTATTGCTTTTTCTCTCTCACGAGTTACATCAACCAAGAATCTGTTCCGATCACAACTCACAAGATAAGTAATCTAAAACACACTAAACTCGACTAAGTGACGACAAGTTTTCACATTCATATGATCAAATGTTAAAAAAAACTCAAGCTTTTTCTTGACTTTCGAACGTTTTCTCAAAAACCAAACAGAATCAATGTCAAACAATTAACAAATTACCAGCAACGGCGATAGAAACCAAGTTTTGGGTCGGACCAAGAATACCCTCTAGCAAACCGATGTATAAAGATGGCAGCTTTGCAATCTGTGAGACTTTTGGTTGAAACCCTGAAATGGGTGTTTGATAAAATGGACAAAAACTGCTTTGACAGAAACCTAGGAGGAATTTTGGGTGAAAGATTGTGGCATGATTGACATGAATGGATTATAAGAGGGGAGCTTAAAATGTGGTTTTGGTATTGGTTGGTTGGTTTTGTGAAGATTTTACAAGGGTGAGAGAGGAGAAGTGAAGAATTGTTTGTGAGTTTTTTGGAGAGGTTCGATGAGGCATGTCTAAGAGAAAGGAGTCTCCGCATTTCTTTCTTTCGATCTTCTCTGCTGAGTTGTGTTTAAAATAATCGAGGACAATTCTTTGTTTTGCTTATAGTTATTTACTAGCATGTATACCGCGCATTGTCGTGGAGAAAACTATACAACATTGTATTGATTCAGAATATAAAATTTAAAAATAATTATTTACAACGATGGTATAAAAAAAATTAAAAAAATCAAAACATATATTTTGTATTTTACTTTAAAGTTAATTAAACAAAAGACTCTGTAAAATTAAGTAATATAACATAATGCTCGTCAATCAAGACACCTTATCCGAATGGTCACGATCGAACGGATCGATACTAAAACTCATATCTTTTTTATTTTCTTAACATTAAGTTCTTAATTGATCTTATTTATCTTTAAATATGTCAATTTAAAATATGTCATTAATAATATATAACCATAAAATTTTTTCATTAACATAACGAAAGTGTTATTCTAAAATTTCATCATTTATAAAACGTATCTCATCATAATTAACATTCTTAAATAATATTGTCCCAATATTCATACTCAAATTTTAAATAAAAATTTTCAACATTTATGAGTTTAACATCATTACTCTCATTATTTTGAATATAAATATTCATTTAAAGGATAACCTAATCGTTAGAAACATATAAAGACAAGTATATGAGTCACTAGTCATTGAAAGCAACATCAACATCCTCAACATTTGCATCATTATCTACATCATAAAACGGACGTGAGATACGAATATCTCAATAAGTGTAATATGCATGCTTTTACATTAAAACTTTTTGTACATGAATGTCTTTAAAATTCTTTTCCTCATTCGGACTCGCTAGAAGATTACTAACACCGGTTAGCGAGGGTCTAGTCTTAATAAAAATATGCACAAAAACATTAACCTCATCATTTATCGGTTAAACTTTAACCTTTAAACCTCAACGATTATGTCTCGATAGGCAATCTCAACCTTTAAACCTCAATATGCATTAAAAAAACAATCTTATTCGTTTACTTAAAACATTTTCTTTCAATCAACATGTAAAATATATGCATGCATATGAATGTACCTCAAGATCATCATATCACATCACATCACTCATCACTCAATCACATAAAAACACATAGCATTTACGTACATGGTGTAGGTGAGTTACACTTATTTGATTTACTTAAGACCATTGTTTATCGTAACCTTTCTCTAAAAATCGATACCTCGACTTGATTCAAACCTTGAACATACACACCATATAACATAAGAAATTAAATATTATTATTTTATCTTTAATCATTTAATTTTTATTAATTCCTATTCTTTTCTTGTAATTTCTTTTAAATTAAAAATCCTAATTAAATCATCAATTCTACTCTAATTTATTCAATTTTCTTCTAATTATATTCATATAATCTAATGTTATTAAATTTTAACTTCACCTTTTCCATTCTTATTTAAATACACTTAATCATCAAATATTTTAATAAAAATTTAAGATTTTAATACTAAAATATAATTTTTACATAATCAATCCTAAATCTTGAAATTTCAAACCCAATTCTATCTAAAATCATATAAAAAAATAATTAAATTAAATATTTTTCTTACTATAAATATTGAATCACTAAGACTTGAATCTTCTTCTAAATATCTTTGACTTCACTTGTAACTCCATTATATTCTCTCTCTCTCTCTCTCTCTCTCAAAATATAAGCTTATGAAATGAATTTCTTAAACGAGGAGAATGTCACCCTATATATAGGCATAGGAAGTTGAAACATTTAGGAATTTTAAGTGCATGAATTAGAAATAATAAAAGACTAATAACTTTCTTCTTTTATGGTCACTAAGTGGTTTTCTTTCATAACCATTAACCTTCTTCTTTTATGGCTACTTTTTTTTCTTTCATGGCCATTCATGTCTCCAATTTAATTTTAATATATGTTTCAAAACTTTTACTCTTCTTTCATAGCCACTAACATTCCCTTTAAAAGCTAGTAAAACTTATTATTATTTCATTATTATTTTATTAATTATTACTACTATTTTAATCATTTAATTCCTAATAGCTTAGGCCAAGATTATAGGATTAATTCCTATCTATAAAAATACCATCTATAACACCCAAATATATATATATATATATTGTATCCTAAAACTCTATACCTAATCATTACATTATCTAAACACATAAAAATATTAAATTACATACACAAATAAACCACATTTGCATACATATACACACAATATATTATCATGCAAAATTTTTAGAAATTACATATAATCTTGCTAATTATATATTATTTGATATAAACATGTATTTTAATAAAAATATTTAGAATAATAATAATTAAAATAATGATATGGTATTTTTTAGAATTTTAGATGATTAATTTTTACCATATATTCTTCATCCGTAATTTGTTAATGAGATAGAGAGAACACTCAAAATAAAAAGACAGAAAAGCTTTATCAAATCGAGAATTTAGCAAAAACATAGAGATAAAATTATGCACGATAAAAATTAAATAATAAAAAAAATCATAAAAGAATTATTAAAATAAATAAATAATTTTCACTAAAAGCCAAAAAAAAAACTTATAAACAATAAGACTAAAAAAAATTCATTATGCATAAGGCATGAACAAAAGTAAAATATGATAGAATTTTAATGACTAAAAAAAAAATTCATAAAATAAGAACCAAAACAAACTAAAGGCCAAAAAAACTTAGAATAGTGAAACTATATTCAATTTTAGTGTAGAAAGAACAATAATAAAAATAAAAGAAAGATCATAAAATAAAAACCAAAACATAACAAAAAGTAAAAAATAGTTTTTTGTAGGGAAAAAATCAAATATGATAAATTTTAATGATCAAAATAAGAAAATTACAAAACGAGGACTAAAAAAATAAAATTTTACTAAATTTAATGGCCAAAACAAAGAAACAAGTGGCCGACTCAACAACCAAAGTTGAATATATTACAACTATAGAAATAACTAAAAAAGTCAGTCTGGATTTGCAAATTTACGTCCGGACTACAAGTAGTTCCTAGCGTTATTGATCCAATAATAATATACTATGACGACAACAGAGCTATGGCATAAATTGAGGAACGAAGGTCTTATCAATGGCCTAAGCATGTATTGCGATGCTACTATCCGATTAGAGAAATTATCGATTATGGTGATATAAGGGTAAAAAAGGTCCACACTAATGACAACATAGGTAAGCTCTTGACTAAGCCTTTGCCAAAACTAAAATATGAGACCCTTACTCTATCGTCGGGATTAAGGAACATGGCTGGTTGACTCTAGTGTAAATGAGAGATTGTTAGTGTAGGTGCCCAAGATCTAACCATGTTTGGATATGTTTGAATTATTATAATATTACATCATTTATTTTATTAATAATAAAAAAGTTCTTCTATTAATTCTTATGTGTTATATTTATTAATTCGGTAGAATTGTATAGAAATCCTTATGATATGCATTTGCAATAGTGATTAATCAAAAGATATGAGACAAACACCAATGCATATAAATGATATCATTAAATGTCCCAAGTCGTAGCATTATCAAGAATGGACATTGACTAGATGCGATTAGACTTGTGAGTATTATGCTCATGCTATATGATAGTAGTAGGAGATCCCACACTTATTAACATGGCGATGCCAAAGCAAGCACTTAAATGATTTATGTTAGAGAACATATCATTGGACTTGACTCCTCATGAGAACTCATTTGGTTTAGTCTATGGGAATCTCATACAAGATGGGTATAATTAGTCCTTAGACTTAAAGTCATCATGATTATCTTATTAAAGGATTTATGTACTTTGACACTCGCTTCAATGGACCCGAGTAAAGGGTTGCACGTGGGCGATTTGTTAGGCGCACTAGGAATCTAATGGATGTAAGTGGATGACCAAGATAGGACATGTCATTCTTTGTATACTAAAGAAGTTATCACATTGCACTTCGATAAATGTTTCCTTAAGAAATCTATTGTCATAGCGAGGAGTAAACCAATAAAGTATAGTTGGTTTACTCTAAAAGCTAAGACATTTGAGAATCGAATCAAACTTATGTGATCATAATCGAACAAGACTAATAACCAAGTTCGAGATCACATTGTAATAAGTTGACATGAGGATTCAATTATATGGTAACCATACTCATGAAAGGTAATTACAGATTAATTAATCCTCCTATAGAATTGGGTAGTTATGATGCCTTGTTAGAGGTCAATCTTGATTTATGTATTAAGAGATAAAATAGGTGTCTTTTATTCTTGATACATTGCCAACATATCAAGAAGGCTATTGAGTCACACGTATAAGTTAAACATTCACATGATTAAAGAGAAGCAAAGATGGTAAAAAAATATTTCTAGTTTTGAAAGTTTTCTATTTTAGAAAAGGTTTTCGAAAATGAAAGGTTTCCTAAAATGGAAAGTTTTCTATTTTAGAAATTAGTTTTCTAATTTGGAAGTTAGTTCCAAATTTGGAAGAAAATAACCTAAAATGAAAATGAGTTTCCTAATTTAAGTTTAAAAGTATTTTGAAAAATTATTTCATAATGTGGTCTACCTAAAATTATCTAACATAATTTATTTAGATAGTCCAAATTAATTAATCGAGAAAACAATGGTTTTGAGCTAATAGGTTTAATTAAAAGCCTAAAAGATATTTTGGTGGGAGGATAAACATGAGCCTCATTGATAAGGATAAATATTTTATAGATAAAGATGAAAAGCCCACATGTTAAATAACTCCTAATCCTTGGAGGATTTGAAAGTAACAACTAAGAGTTTAATAAGGACTAGTTGCTGCCTACTCTCATTATTCTTGAAGAACATGGAAACTCTCCCTCTATAAATAGGAGGAGAGGTATGGCAATAACCCTTAGAAGAAAGGAAGAGAGAAAAAATCAATATAAAGATTTTTGGAGAGAAAAAATTCAAAAAAGAGAAAAATTAGCTAAGGGCACACAACTCAAAATAAAAG